GGGACTTCTACTTCTATGGAAAAATGGTATCTTATAAGAAGATGTGTCATGCCAAATTTGGCTTAAATAGCCTTCTTCATTTAGAAGTTATTTAAAAAATTCGAATTTTTTTAAAAATATTTAACGCCCTATATTTCGAAAATGAAGCGTCTCTGGAAAAAAATGTATACTTGATTTTTTCTTATTTTTTTTTTATGAGGAATATCTGCTTAAAGTTTGTCGACTTAATCCTGAAACACCCTGTATATAAACGTGCGATATCTTAAAATCAAATGTATATTTGAAGAAAAAATTTTTGTTTTGCGTGTGCTTCGATTTTCTGTACGATCAATATATCCCGACTAATTAATTATCAAAGATAAAAATGTAATTTTTGCTTTAAATGACGATAAATCATCGTATAAAGCGCAACAGTTCAAATTAAAGAGGATGAATAAAATAAAACAGCTGACCTTTTGAAAGGAAAACAAAATTTTATAATTTTTTTTTCAGTTTTTTTAAGCTTCAATTTGTTGTTTTTTTTTATCTACGACCATTTTTTACCAACTTATAGCCATTTGAAAATAACCTGGTATAGATTTTTTGAATCCATTAATTTTCGTGACTATTTAGTGGTTCTTAATGACGGTGACTCCCAGTATCTCCGGCAATGGTTGCACAATAATCTTAATATTTTATAACTTAACTAAATATATCGCACACCAAATTTAATTCAAAACACACCCCAAGCAAAAATCCCACCTATGCCCACGGATAAACAGCCCGCGGTCTATGTCCACCTTAACGCGGTCACCCTGTATACATATACGCTACACAACAGTAATAGATTGCTTGCTTTATAGACACGTTCGTTTGTAAATTTGCCACCCAAAAAATCAGAGTGTGCAGGGATCAAGCGGCCAGCGTTACTCGAGTCTCTCTCTGTTTGTTTTCATTTTCCTCTTTTTCAGATCGCAGTCGGCGGCAGTTGCTTGTTGATTGTTACTTTGTCTCTCTCTCGATACCTACGGCCAGGTGTTGAACCTCTCTCTTCACGATTGGGGGCGCTAGCGGCTGGCGGCGCACTAACGGTCGTCAACTTTAAACTCTCTCGCCGCTCATTCCTCTACACGACGCTGCAGAGTGAGGTGGTTGCAATTGATACAGGTTGTCGCGCCAGTTTGCGTGTGTTTCAAAGTTTCTGGACCGCATAAGGTGTGAAGTGCTACTGTTCTGTGCCATGGATGCTTGAAATCGACGACCAAGGATTATCTAGTGATTGTTTTGTAACTGTTTTACAGTGCGGAAATGGTTTGAGAATTGTTTGCAGTAGTGATCAGTGTCTTGTTCTTTGTCTAACCACCACGCTGGATTCTCGGAATATGAGGATTGGAAAGTGAGATAAAGTTGTGTATTGGATTTTTTTTTCCGACCCCCAACGAACTTTGTTACGAATTGCGATGAGGCCTGTTTTGAAAGTTTGCCCGCAGTTGGTCGTAATAGCAGCGTTACTATGTAAGTATCATAAAAAGCACGTATTTTTGTTGTAGGAGAGAGAACGTATTGTGTAAAAAGGTCTGGTCGGCTTGGCTAATGGGATTTGCGAAAATTTCCGGGACATTTCAACGGTTTCGGCTTAAAATCATGTAAAATATTCAGTTTTATACGTGGCGGTTGGTCCCCTTCGTTTTAAAAGTAATTTACCTAATCACTTTTGCCGTCCTGATGTTTCCTGGCTATTCCGATGAAATTAAATTACTTTGCTGTACAATTCGGGCTGCGTTTAGCCAATTGAATTTGTTTATTTGACGCGTGTAGTAATTTCAGGTCATGTTTAAAAGTGCCCCTCGGGAGAGGTGGATTTTGTAGGGAGTCGGATTTAATTTCTTTTGTAATTTTAAGGCAATTTTATCCAGACTGGCGCTTGAAATTTTAAGTGCCCATACACTTCGGATTTTATTTCTTTGGGATCAGTTTAAACTGAATCAAATAGAAAATAATATCATGAAGGTATAGTATGCGACAGTTTTATATTTTACCATTTTATTTGTATACCTGCAGCGGAATTAGGTACGACGAAGGATAAATGAAAGTAGGTATCGAGGTTTTCTGTGCATTTAAAAGGTTACAGTTAAAAGCAAGGGGTAAAAAGTACATTCAGATACGTAAAAATCGACATGAATATGATTAAATACTTGTCTGATAAATACATATAAATCAATTTAGATACCATTATACTCTTAAATATGTTTAGATACTGTTTAAATATCTTGAAAATCTTTGCTTGGATTTCTTACGTATCCTGTCTGTACATTTAAGTATGGGGGAAAAGTATAGAAACATTTTGCATTTTTAAATACCTAGGTGTACAAATTTTGGTAATTAAGCTATCTATTAAAATTAACTAGCAAGATACTTACTTGTTTAAAAAAATCATTATATTAGAACCAAATACTTAGATTGGTCACAAATTTATTAAAAAAATAATAAGTTTGCACAAGCAAAAGTAGACTTTTATACAAAATATACTTGTTATCATTTCCCAAAGGATTATTTTCTTTTATATCACAATTTACAATTACAGCAGCCTACATAGATTTTGACTTCCACTGACACATATGTAACGAGTCTATTTTAGGAATTATGCACATTGTGTCCAAGTTAAACGCATTTGTGTCGCACATGTTCCAAATTCTGGGGAAAGGTTGATTGGGACGCTGTTCTGAGTAGACCTCAATTTCCGTCTGTCATTTTTAAATTTTAAGATCGGAATATAGGTGATTTAATTCCCGACTTTAAATAAACATGGAACCAGACAACTGACGGGCATATTTACAAATCCGATTTTCTTTGAACATCCAAAAATATTTTAATTTAAATGTAAAAAGTTGTTTGTACTTTTATTTTCTGGTGTCGTTTGAAAGTAATCGAGTTAAATGCGTTTTATTTATTCTATCGTAAAGACATTAACATTAAAAAATTTGTGGAAAATCTGGGTCCCTTCTGTATGTATTTTAACGAATTATGTAAGTGGATGTGTAGGAATCTGTAAAATCGACAATTTCGAATGTCAGTATCATTAAGTACAGCAAAGATTTTCAATTGCTGTTCTGTTTCAACAGCAGGCTAGATGGAACTGTCACCAACATTTGTCCAATCGCTTTTTGCGTCATATTCGCTCAAAGTAATAATAAATTAATTGGTAGGATAACTGGCAGTTCAAAATCAAAGCGGACGTGATTTTATAGTACATTAATAGCTCCAATAATCTATGATCACATTGTCTTAGTCAGAGAAAGGTAGATTTATTTGAAACTTGGTAAAAAGGAATAAATGAGGTTAAAATTTCGCCACTTACATCAGTTTACAGAAATTCTCTTACACGAAAGTTTCGTTAAAATTATACAAGGCATTACAGTGATTTAAAAAAAAAATTGCTTATTTTGATCGCGGATAACTTCAAATTTTTCGTTCTCACTAAACATTATTTCTTTATTGCAATAGTTTGTTATAGGAAATAAATTAATGGTGATAAATAAACTTCTGTCAAAGTCATTCGTTTGTTCCGCGTCCATAGCCACTGCGATCCGTCAGACATCCCTCCTGTTTTTTCAAAAATTGTTTTAAACTGAAATATGTCGAAAAGTCCTGAATCAAATAGTAACATATTATATATTTTTGAAAAGAGAAAAATTTAACGAAGCTAATTGTAAGTATGCATTAATATACAGGGTGTTCCATTAAAAAAATTCTTTAATTTAGTGATTTCCATTATTCAATTTGTTTTTCTAATACTGTATTATAAAAATTCATAAAAAAGCATAAGAACTTTTTTCTAATTTCTATAATAAACTCACAATAAGTTGTTAGATTATAGTAACTAACCCTGTATAAATTGTAAGCATCAGAATTCTGTAAGTTTTTAATATATGTAATTTTTGTTCCATTTACTGTTACGTTTTCCTTCAATTAATCTGTTTCCATCGTTAAATGAACTACCCAGAGACTGTTAGTCGATATCGTGAAAAATAAGGTACCAACAAAGAGACAAAAATTTAATTTGTGAAAAACATTAAACCCCCCCAGTCAAATTAAACGGGAGATTGCCGCGGCCAATTAGTTATATCGAAAATTTCGGTCCTGCTGGGAAATCCCGATTCGCCGAGAAAATTTCCTGCAAGCAGAAGACGACGGCAACAAACAGCTGAAGGTAGAAAGTAGAGCCGTTTCTTTGGCAAGGGCAATTTATAGGGGATTTTTCGCCATCTAATTAATTCGACTTAAAAATTTTAATTGAAGTTTTAATGAATGTTGTTGCGATATTTCAAATTTTAAACAAAACGCGGATTTAGTCTTTGAACCTTCAGTTAACCGTCTGTTTTTGCTCGCAAAAGGATCATAACGATTAAACGCTATGTCACAGTTGTGTCTTTTTAGAATAGGACATATTTCTTGATAACATCTTATTTTTCCATTACGGATTATGTTAAATATTTCGTTTCTTCAATGAACAATTTCGTAGGGTATTTTAATAAGAAAACGTTCTACTCAAGCGAAACATGTCACTAGAAAACTATTTTTATACCAGAGTACTTTACCTCAAAGGAAAACTGCCGCGAAAAGTTTTTATTAGCTAATATCGACCTTTCTGAACTAATATTGTTTTGAAATAGATCTTAACGTCATGAAACAGAAGGAAGTTTGGACTATTTATGTGCACAATAGTCCTGGAGACTTTCTTTTACAATAAGTTTCAATTTTGGCTCCAGCTAATTAGCAGGATAATTCCCCATACACCAGGAAAATTAGCGAAAATAAAAGAGAAACTCGAAAAAAGTTATATCCGCGAGATTATTGTAAAACTGTCTAAAGGAACATAATACAAGACGTCTCTCATCTCGTGAGTCAAAAAATTTTATTAGCTAACTTTTCTATTTAAACAAATAAGTGAGGAAAACAGTTTTTTCACTTTGCAGGGAAAACCATAAATTTTAGCGAAAAGTGACTCACAGACAGCTTGTAAGGAATGACATTATCTACGAAATGAGACTTATTTAATAATAGTAAAATAATTCCGAAATTGAAATTTTAATTAATATTTCGTTTAACAATAATTTTTGTGAAATTTATGTAAATTAAAAAAAAATCAGTATTTTTTCTGGGGTTCAGGGCTATTCTACGAATTCGTAGATATGCCCATTGTTATTTTTTCGTCGAGCTACCCCAGTTTAAAAAAATAAGAAGTTTCTACGTTGAATAGATGCCGAGATATTGCAAAATTTTACAGTGCACATCAATTTGAACGAGACTCGCTTGGACGAGCTTCCCCCACCACCACGCCGGACATTTTACTTAGCAAGTACCTTCTCTTTAAAGGGCTCGTGAGTCGTTAATTTTCCATATTTTTCAATGCAATTCACGAGAAATCGTAGTTTACGTCGTAAACTTTATTTTGCGAAAAATTCAAGTCTTAATATTTATAAACAATTGCGCTATGATTTTTTAAAAAAAATTCTTATCTTGGCCCCTGTTGGTCGTAGAGTGCTTTTTTTTAAATTTGTATTTTTTTTGCCAGCTATCCTTTGAATCTATTTTCGGTGAGGTAGCATAAATAGCAACAATTTTATTCAAATTGTTTATAAGCGAAAAACGCACGGCACAAACGCACAATTTGAGAATGTTAATGTCAAAAACGATGATATTTTTTAATAAGTCGCTTAATTACGTCTTTAAGATTACAATGACGATTTCAGAATTACGTTTGGTTGAAAATTAACGCCTGTACAGACGCTTAAAGTTAACTTTTGGAGACTTACGTTATAAACAAATTGAATTGTGCGAAAACTATTGCACCCACAGCGCCCCCTTTTGGCACACTTTTAAAGTATGACAAAACCCTCAACTTGTCATAGGTTTTATAAAATTTTAACAATAAATGCGATAGTTATAAACAAATTAAAAAATGGGCACTTTTCTTGTTTTTGCAATAACTTTTTTGTTTATTAACCGATATTAATTTAACAAGTCTCATTTTGTAGATAATTTTATTCCCTACAAGCTGTCTGTGAGTAACTTTTCACTAAAATTGATGGTTTTCCCTGCAAAGTGAAAAAACTGTGTTCCTCACTTATTTGTTTAAATAGAAAAGTTAGCTAATGAAATAAATTTTTTGACTCACGAAATGAGATTGTAATCTTGTATTATGTTATTATGTTGCTTTAGACAATTTTACAATAATCTCGCGGATAGAACTTTTTTCGAGTAAAAATTTTATTTGCTTGGCCTACCAGTGGGACGAAGTCATACTAAAAATCTCCTAGCCTACTTAATACAGCCATAAAAGATTGCCGTGCAAGCTATTAGGGGACAGGCGCTTATACCGTTACAAATAAGAGCAATAATTGCCTAAATCGGATTTAAATATCGTTAATGGAATCGTGTAGACGCAATATAACAAAATAGGCATTACAGTCATGGCGACGCACCTACACAAGAGTCCTAACGGGCGCCGAGCC